CAGTTTCCTGTATATAACTGATACACAGTTTGAGAGGAGCTGAGCGCATTACTATGGTTCCATGTGAAAATCCGTCCATGTCTATGTGTGAATCCACTTTTTCTGTAAACATTTGCTAGATTAAAAATATATTTGAAGTCGTTTATTGCTGTTTAGACATCACTGGCAATTTATAGTCTTTATAATTCCCGTCAGCAAAAATGTTCCAAATATTTTTGTTTCTGAAAATAATAACTGCCTTTCCGATAAGTCTGTTTGCTTCCTATAGAGGAGGGTGAGGCCTGTTGTAGCCATTATCAAATCTAAATGCAGCTCATGTTTGCGACCCTTGTCTTGTTGTTGTATGTCAGAGTGAAGTCATTTAGTCACAGCGTCACAGGTTAGACAAAAGCCAGATTTGTCCTTGCTATGGTGCTCTTGTACTGTAAATCTCAGGGCTGGAACAATCAGGATCTTTAGCCACACGTGTGCTTATTAGTGAGAGTCATTACAAAATGAAAGCGGTGTGTGCTTCACTGGGAGTCATTTTGAAATGTCCGTGTACAAAAACAATAAAATACATAAAAAATACTTTCACTGGATCTGACACGTGTGCAAAATTTCAGGAGTTTTTGAAAATGTTGAAGCCCTCAAAAACGAAATTATTGCATCTGTTCCATCATAAGAAATGGAACAGATACAACAGGGCCTTTGCACTGTCAGTGCTCGGGCCCTAATGAGGTAATTTAACACTATTAGCACTACTGAAATATAACTACTGTATAACTAAAAACTAGATATACTAGAAATAACTCAAAAACAAAAAAACTAACAAAACCGAAAACAAAAGTCTCTATAATATAACAATATCCAAAAACCACAAAACAAAATCCATCGACTGTCACAGAAATAATTCAACCTCCTGAAATTTTTCTAATTATTTAAATTTTTGGTATCACATTACAGATCATGTTGACCCTTTTTGTAAGTATTGTACATAAGAACTAAGCAATCAGATAATTCTTAAAGACAGTAAGTGTTTGAATTGTTTGTATTGATAATAAAAACAACCGATGACTCTGGACTTGAAGTACTCCTCTGAGGTAGTTTCTTACATTATGTGACATTCTGCCATTTTATCATCCAAGGTTGAGCCTATATGTTACAAGATCACCGAATATGCATGTGTCCTCTCTCTCCCTCTCTCTCTCTCTCTCTCTCTCTCTCTATATATATATATATATATATATATAAATACTTTCATCGGTGTGCCATAGGGTCAGTTATGTTACCTCATTTCATGATTGCAAGTGACTTGCAATTATAATAAAATATTCTAGGAATTTTCATAAATAAATAGATCTGTTTTCTAAAACACATTCATGGATGTACATGTGGTGGAACTGATATAGTGCACTTTAATTGAGCAAATGAGCAATTAATGAAATCATATGTATCAAGTCTGGGATTGTCAAACACCCAGTCATTGTATGTAATGCTGTGTGTATTGTTAATATCATTTCATTCATTAAATAATTCCTGGTGGCACATGGCTAAAATGCTCTGGGGGAGGTTGTTTTGTATGTGAACTGTGACCCAGACACGGTGTTGCTTGCGTTGCGTTGGAGGCTGTGGTGATTCTATTTCCAGTTAATGATCTTGTAAAAGGGGAGTGGCCTGGCATGGTCCATGGAGTGGTGAGTCACGAGCTAGTTCCATTCTTTTGCTTCCTTGGGCACTGGCTTTCCTTTAGCCTGTCTGTTTGTGTAAATATTTTTTTTTCTTTTGGGACTTCTTAAATAAAGCTTTAATAAATTAATAAAGCCCCACTCCCTCTGACATACACTGACTTTCTCTTGTTTCTATGTCTCTCTCTCATTGACTCCCCCATGGTACAGCTGGTAGGTCATCTCAAGCTGGAAATAGCATTCAGCTGGCCTGATGGACACTGCTGCACAGTGTCAGATAGCCTAGTTTGGGAGAGTGCCATACCTTCTCTCTCTCTCTATTTTCACTTTCTTTTACTCCTATTTTTCCAACCTTCAATTTTTCTTTTTTACTTGCTTTCCCACGCCCTCTCTCTTCCTTCCACTTAGTTTACATCTTCTCCTCTGCTCCCCATCAGCAGATTCTCTTTCTCTGTCTTGTTCTTGTGTGCCACCTTCCGCTGTCTCCCTGTGTTATATTTTACCACCCGATCTATTTTTCAGTGTATGACTACGGCTGTCTGTCAGAGGCCAAATCCAACAGTCTGTCTCCATGCTCTGGGCATCTCTGCAGATATTTAACATACTGAGCTATAAGTGCTTGTATCCAGCCGTCTAAAAAAGACCCAAAACACACTGAATGGAAAACAATTAGAAATTTCAAGTTGTTGTCCTTCCTAAATATTCTATAAAAATATTGTGAATATATCCAGAAAACAGCATTTCGATA